TTAAATTATTATTATTATTTTTTTCACTTTAGACATATCTTACAATACTTTTTCAGCTTATTGGGGATCAAATAGAGGGCCCACTCTCATAAGACACATATGAGCTTAAATTTAGGGCAAAATCTCTATCTCCCCACCCCCCTTTTTTTAGTAGAAAGTAAAGTATGAGGAGAAAGAAAGATGGTAAAAAAATATGCTGCATCTATAGTTAGCATTTTTGTAGTTAGTTAATCTACCAATTGATAATTGATAATTCAAATTTAGTTTTGTAATTTTTTTTTGTAAATATATACTTTTCTTTATGTATTTTGTTTTGCTATTATGTATAAATAAATTGATTTCCAGTTAATACATGTAGTGTATTTTTTTCCTATGTTAATTCAATTACTTTTTTTAGATTAATCAGATGATGTGTTTGTTCAATATAGACATATAATTGAAAACTAGTAAAAATTGTTATGTTTTGGTTAATTTGTTAATAAATGTGTAAATAAAAATATCTTTAATTTTACAAAGCTATTAGGCATTTGTTTAAAACCACAATCCGTCATGATTCGTATTTTATCTGTGTGAGCGAAAGTCTATGCAAATATCTGACGTAAGTTTTTATAAAGCATTTATATGCTGTTTATTAAACAATGTTAAAAAATAATATCATAGGATGCCAAAGTGGTTGAAGTGCTTTGCGTGGGTTTAAACCCTTTTGTTTTCACATTTAATTTTTTGTTTAAATCTTTTCCAATTTTCTAAAATACAAAGTAAAGCAATTTTAAAGGTCATATATAAAGATATTATATGCATAACATATATAAAGATATTATATGCATAACATATATAAAGATATTATATGCATAACATATATAAAGATATTATATGCATAACATATATAAAGATATTGTATACTATAACAAACAAAAGGGAGAGAATTTTTTAAAAAGCTTTTTTAAAATTTCTAAAAACATGAAAACACCGTTAGAAATTTGTTGCGATGTGTCACAATAAAGTTTAAGGTTTTAATGTGTTTAGTAATAAATTAAGTGTACGCATTAAAAAACAACTTTCTTTTTTATAGAAAAAGATTTTACATGGAAACTTAAATTTTTTTAAAAATTAACAGGACAAGAGTCCTAATAAGAGGGATTATCTTTTTCCGTATATTTCTGGTATTCCGGATTTTTCTCAACTTTTAGTTTTCCCAGATAGCCAAAATATTTTTCATATATATACAAGTTTAGGAATATATTTTTGTAATATAATTGTTTTTTAAGCTTTTTCACTCATCACTTATACTAAAATTAAAGAAATTTAAAACAACTCAGCTAAAAGCAAAATTGTGAGAAAAATATGGGAAAATGTATTCTGGATATTTTTCCCAAACAATTTTTTGGATTTTTAAAAAATAAACTGGATGATTTATGGAATAAGCTGGTGATGGCCTGAAAAAAAATTAATAGAAACTTATTAAAGAAAAAAATAATAAGGTTCGCCTGTTTTTTTTTTTATATATATAAAATGTTATAGAAGTTGTAAAGTATTGAAAGTTAATTATTAATTAAATCATTTCCACAAAAAAACAAAAAAAAAAACAAAAACAAAAACACTGGAACCTCTAGTCCTTCACAATTTAAACATTATAAACGATAGTTTAAAAAACATTAACAATAGTTTTATCACTATTAAACAATATGTTGAAACATGGAAAATTTTGCTGTTCAGAATTATCTGATATAGTACTAGAACAGCAAGAAACTATAAAAAAATTAATAAAAAGTATAGAATTCCTTGAAGCTAAACAACCAACAGTAAATAAATCTGCTAATTTTTGGTTGAAATTTTTAACAAAAACCACATCAATGGAAAAATCGCTTGTTGTAAGCACAATCGGAAATTCAATAATTTTAGAAGTAAAAAAAAGCAAGAAAATAATATAATTTTTGGAATTCCAGAATCAAGTAAAGTAGATGAAACAGATACAATTAATGATAATAAATTAATGGTCAATGAAATATTAGATTATATTGACCAAAGCAATGAAAAAGCGATTAAATTAATTAGACTAAAAAAAAAAAAAGAATCAAAAAATTCACCTCCAATTGTTGCTGTACTTCCTGAAAACTGTGAATGTTATAAAGTTCTATTCACGTCAAGGGAATTACAAAATAACAACAATTAAAGAAATATTTATTTAAACTGGGATATGAGACCAGCAGAATGACTAATAGATTTTGAATTATGAAAAGAAAAAAAGGATAAAAACCATCAGCTTTTAGAAAATAAACCAAACTCGTCCTTTCGATGGTGCATCAGGTGCAACGAAATTGTTAAACTCAAAATCAGAAAAAACATTAAATAATAATATTCATCGATTAGGCTGGCACAGATGTATTCTTAATACATTGTTTCCAGTTTAGGATGTTGAATGCTGGAACTTCTTGACTTGATGCATGGGTTTTGCTTATGTCAACTCATTCTATAATCTCCTAAGGGTACAGCTCTAACA